AAAGCTGATCCGGTCAGACAAAAGTGGGTTGCGGCTGTGTGGCTGAGCTTTATGTTGAAGTTGAATTGTTCGCAAAGAGGTCAAAGAGTGCTTTCACTCCTTTGTGACTGCGGGTGATAAGTTAATCTGTTCTGAAGGCAAATGCTGGCATGACTCTTAAAAAGCCTTTGACAGTTCTCACAAATCTTTATACCAAAGTCATAAAAGCATGAGCAGGTGAATTGGTTCAGATATGTTTTTCCAGACAAGGTCGAGACTTTTCTTGGTGTATTATTGTAGTTTTTTTTTTCTCCTCTCCTTTTTCACGACAGCAGCAAAACCACAGATATGATTAATAACATTAATAGAACTGCTCTCCTGAGGTGCGCCTGCCCATTCCTTACTCAGACCTTTTTGTTTTCGTGGTCTTTAGCTCCATCACTATACGAATTTCGGAAAGAACTACTTTTAACAACTGGTAAATGTAAAACTGTAGAAAAGTAGCTCAATACGCTCAAATACACATTTAAGCTCACGACCCATACACAGCAAGGCAGGATCTGTGCTTGGCCACAGTAGAGAGTCTCTTTCAGCCAAGAACATCATTATTTCATTTTTATGATGTCAAAGGGTTCCTGGCTGTTCCTTTCTGCCATTTACATAAAAGAATCTAAACATCAAATTAAATGTAATCAGCATGGAAGGAAAGGAAAATGTTGGCTTAAAGGCAGCAAAGAAGCAAAATGGACAGAAAGGACAACGACGCGTTCCTGCTGAAGGTCAGGAGGTCAAAGCATCAGCCCACGCGTCCACCTTGGAACATGTTTGAATACCCTCCGCTCCTCCTACGAGACTCATGCATATGTGCACATCCACATGAGAAACAGCCAGCCGGTCATCATAGTGCTACATGCATACAGTATATACTGCACAGAGAGCTTGCAGTGCGCACAGCATTCTTCAGTTTTCTTTGGTGAATTCATTTCAGGAAAAGTTAAAGTCACAAATATTGATGTTCTTTAGTCTTGGACATTTAATTGAAAGAACAAAAAAAGTAACCTTCAATCTGCACTTACTAAACATTAATGACGAGTTTTCTGCTGATCAGTCAAGTCAGAAACTGACATCTCTGATCTCCAAAGGTAACTCCAGACTTTTTAGATGCTTCTTTTCCATTGAAGCTTCAGGTCTGCAGGCCTCTTCAGATTTTCTTCAAGGACCGTTTTCATTCTTATTTCAGCTCTGATGCCACCATTCATTAAATTTTATTAGATTCAGTTCAAGAAAAAAACCTTCACAAGCAGCTGCTCAAAGAAAAGTGCTTTTGGGTTTAAGGATTTGCACAACTAGTAAACTAGACTATTAAAATGTTGGAACTTGGGACTCAACTAATGCTCGAATGCTGTTAACTGTTGGGTCGCACATAACCACTCGACCACAGCAGTGAGCAACCACAGGCTGCTCAGGTGTGCAGGCTTTAACCTGCAGGGAAATGAGGCACTGCTAGCACTGCTAACTTTAGCCACAACTGACATTAGCTGTGTCCCAAAACGTCGGCTGCATCCTTCGGAGGACCCGGCCTTCGCGGTC